TCACTAATAGTACCAAAAACATCTCTCTCAACATATGTGACTAAGCAATCATTCAACCATTGATCGCAGATCTTGTTGCGCAACTCATTCTTCACGAACTTCATACTTGAAAACGCCCGTTCAACACTTGCTGTAGCTACTGGGAGAAGTAGAGACAACTTAATAAGTATATACACATGCTGATATGTGAGATGCTTCTTCGTGGAAACCATTTCAATTGAAAGGTCTACTAAACCATTCAAATCAAAAAATCTATTATCAGAACGGACATCTAAAATATAATTCTCAAGCTGATTCTCGAGTATCTTTTGATCAACGTTAGAAAACTCTTTTGGATAAAATTCTGCCAATTTTAGGAAAGATGCTCTATCAAAAGCTTCAAACGAGGAGGAAGGACATAAACAAGACACACACCGCAATAACTCAGTGCTTGCCACATCAAACCTGCTATCAAGCTCAGCCACAAACAAATTAACAATCTCATGTAAACAATCATACTTGTAATGATGCATGTGGGTTATACTCGGTGCCTTGCGCTTCGATCTTTTTCCTTTGATGTAGTTCTGATCCATAGAAGGCACATCTATATGAATTTTTTTACAAAAAGTAACAACCTCGTCAAACAAAGCACCCCGTCCAATATCTGTTTTCATTGCCGCTAAACACTGTTTGACAACTGTGACTAGTTTCAAAGCATTCACAAGATCTTGTTCACACCTTTGCAATGCCTGTGAAAGATCATGTGTAATGGCCAAAACATTGATCATCAAATGAAGCATTAAACAAAATTCAAAAGTTTGCAATTCATTCAACAATGAAGTGGCACCACTTTTATCATGGTCTTCAAAATCTTTGAGCACCTCAATCACGGATTTAAATAATTTTTGCAAATTAAGCAATGATTTGTAATGAGAACTCCATCGTGTATCACCTGCTCTGACTAGTGCTAATTGTTGGTTCAATCCTCTTCTTGTTTTTACTGGTCCAGCTTCTAAAGCACTTATCAAATCACTTTCTTGTTTATCTCGAAGGCATTCTTGACGCTTATTTGATGAGCAGATCTCATTAATTACGCGACTAACATGAAGAAGTAACCAATTAACCTCATGTTGTCCTTTAACAGCGGCAACAAGTGACAATTGCAATTGATGAGCTAAACAATGGACATAATATGCATAAGGATTTTCATTTTGAATTAGAGTTTTCAATCCACCAAACTTACCCCACATATTACTCGCTCCATCATAGCCTTGTCCTCTTATGTTTGAGATGCACACACCATATTGTGCTAGAATGTTCTCAAGAGATTCTTTAAGAGATGATGCAATTGTGTCTTTTACATGAACAAGACCAATAAATCTCTCCAAAACAGAACCATTACTAGCAACAAAACGCACAACAATAGCCATTTGCTCTTTACCAGAAACATCCCCTGATTCATCAACTAATATAGCAAAAACATCATCTCTCATTTGCTTAATAATTTCATGAACAGTTAGAAGTACACAAGCATAACACAAGTCCTTTTGAATTTTGGGTGAACTCATGTGATTGTTTTGTGGAGCATTTTTTAGGACTATCTATCTCAGAATCATGTTGTCTCAAAAGATCTAAAGTCTCAAGAAAATGACCTTTATAACTAGACTCTATTGATTCGTCATGACCCCGAAACGGCAAACCCCCACAAAGAAGAAATCTAGCGCACTCAAGTGATGCCTTCAAGCTAATAAGGTAATCACACTTCGCTTGTTCAGATTGTTTCACAAAACATGCTCCAATACTTTGTTTGTGGTTCATCAAATCTTCCAATCTTTTCACCGCATTGTAATGAGGACTGTTAGGTTTACCAACATGTAAATAAAACTTATCTTTTTTATTCCATGCTGAAAACCCAATTCCCACAAAATGATCACCCCCAACTTCCCACTCATTCTTAAACAAATAACATGGCAAACAAAATGCAGCATCTTTGGCAATACTGTATTCCAACCATTTATGCTCATCAAATCAACTTGAAACAAATCTACACTTTTTGCCTCCAATTAACTTAAAAGGGAAATAATGGTCCCGAGGTTGAAATGGTCCTTTTTGAATGTAACTACGACGTACCTCATCCTTAACATTAGGGTGAAAATCAGCAATTCTTTTTCTCAATTCAGGATCAGCTTCCAAAGATTCAAAATCCTCATGTTGTTCAGGTTAGATTATAAGCCAAATTAGCTTCACTTTCAGCAATTACTTGATCCAATTCTTCATTTACTAATGGCGGATCATTTGAATTAACACTCGAACTACTCCCGGTACTTTGGGTTTCTTTAAATTTGGGTACAACATCAAAATATCGTTTCATCCTAAATCGTATAAAATTGAAAATAACATTTATAAATACATGAATTTATTAATTTAATCTAACATTAAAAAAAGATATGCAATTATGCAAAGAAAAGCAATTAAAAGAATGACGTAGTTTTGGTATATTTAATTTAAACATAGAAATTGAAATTTGAAAACCCTATTTTTTGAGCATAAAGAAAATCGCACCAAAAAGCTTGAGAAACACCATTAATGGAGAAAACAAGAGTATCTAACCTTGGTGGATCTTTGGCTTGGCGGAATGGCGGCCTTGGCCGCTTCCCGCAGTGGCGCAGTCCCGCTTGTCGTTGCCTCATCACTCGTCAGCACTGAGGCACTCGGCCGATCGGCGGTCGCCGGTCGCGGTGGTAAGAGGTGGACTGGTGGTCTGGTGGAGGAAATAGCAGCGTGAAAGGAAAAGGGGGGCAGGGGGCTTCGCAGTTCGCAGATGGGGGGAACCGGGGAATGGCAGCGTGACAGGAAAAGGGGCTGGGTCTTTTGTTTTATTTTGGGCCTAAGTTGGGCCGTGCCTTCCCTTAAAAGACAAAAAAAACGCCAAAAAAACAAAATCCAACAGGATTCGAACATGGTACCTCCCACAACTTAAATAGTTTGCTTCCAAGCGTATTCCCGATCCGCTGCTCCATTCTTATTGTTTCAAAGTTGTTTTGTTTGTAAATATACATTGAATAATTAATTTTAAATATTTTTTTTTACCCCGGAAGGCAAACCACCAAAATCAGTGGGGCAGAAGTCGGGGGTCAACTGCCAAGATTTTATTAAAACTCAAGAGATCATTACAAAAGGGGAAACAAAATTCTCCAGAGACAAACAAAGCTAAGTAGAAACTCAGCAAAAAATATAAGGGATTTCCAATTCATCTAATTTAATAGGTCCAATAAGCTCCTTGGGTATTTGATGCCCAATCCTCCATGAAAAAGGCCTAAGCAAACACAACTTCGCAACTTCCCTGGCCGACCTATTTATATGTGATGGAATCAAATTGAAGGTCCGACCCAAATTCCATTCGGCCCTGTTTGAACTGGCTGCACCCAACAAAAAGGAAGAGGAGACATCTATCTCCACATTAGGAAAGCCAAAAGCCTCCAACCAGTTCACCGCTTGCCTAAAAACATCGTCTTCTCCGACCGTCGAACCGCTAAGAGGGAACCCATCCGCAGCCAACATCGCACCGGAGTGATCTCTCAGAAGGAAGCCCGCCGCTGACTTCCCAAACTGCCTGTAAAGATTCCAGTTGAGCTTCACATTCGGGCTCTTCGGTTTCATCCAACTTCTAATTTGGGGTTTCCGAAGCTTAAAGGTCGAAGGTAATAAACCCACCTCTTTAAGCTTAACACAACCCTTAAGATTATCATTAGCCCAACTCCAAGATAACATGAACTTAATTATTTTGTTAATTATCACCTCTCGCACCGGAATCGATCCATTCCAAGTTGCCTCCCAATACTCCTTCCACAAATGCCATGTTATCACCCCAGGTACTGTTAATTTATACAACTTTTCTATTGATTTACCTCGTGTACTAATCCACCATTTCATAAGCTGAGACTTGATATTTGTAGCCTTTCTATCCCCAATTGACAGGGAGTTAGTGAAGAAATCCCAGACTGAACCTGCCAAAGGACAAAGGAGCAAAACATGATCCTGGGAAGTGCTTTCTTTTCTGCAGACAGGACACATGGACGGATAAACAGCTGCAAAATACTTCAAACGCTCAGGGAATGGTAGCCCTTATGCCATAGTCTCCACAGGAACACCCTTATGTTTGGCACCTGTTTGGGATGCCAAATATGCTCATTTGACAAGGCTCTTCCCCCCTGAGGCCATAAAGCCTTATAGGCAGATTTACTTGTAAATCTACCATTGTTTGTGTGTTTCCATTTGATGCTCTGACCATCCCTGACTACCATATTTTCTGCTTGCTCGTTAATGAGACTGATTCTTCTCCAAATGGGGGAGTCAGTGGGCTTAGTTACACCCATATCCCGTCTACCATATTTACTTCTCATAAAATCAGACCACAATGAATCATCCTCCTGATAATCCCACCACAGTTTCAAAGATGAAACTGTTTGAATGTCCTTCAGAGACCTTATGCCCACCCCTCCACACTCCTTTGGTTTGCATAATTCTTTTCCCTCAATCCAGTGATATTTAGGTTTGTTATCTCTACTCCCCCAGAAAAAAATCAATAATCTTTCTATTCACTATGCTAATCACTGACTGAGGCAAATTAGTGACTGCTACAATGTGCAAGGGTAAGGAGCTAAGCACATGTTTAATCAGGACTAATCTACCCCCTTGGGATAATAACTTTTTGCTCCAAGAATTTAAATATATATCAAGAGAATCCAACAGACCCTTACAATGTTCTACTCAAGTTATCCCTTGATGAAGTTGTATGCCCAAGTATTTTATTGGCAGTTTTGCCAATTTCATACCCAAAGCATTTTCCATATGTAATATTCTGGCCAGTGTAGTATGTTTACCTACCAGGAAGCAGCTTTTCTCTTTGTTAACTAACTGCCCTGAAGCTTGTTGGTAGGACTAAAGTATTTTGTTAAAAGATTTTATGGATCTAGCAGATCCTTTAAGAAAGATCATAAGATCATCAGTGAAAGCTAGATGTGAAATCTGAATGCTCCTTCCCGTATTATAAGCTTCAATGTCACCTGTAGAAATCATCTTATTAAGCCCCCTAGAAAAGGCTTCTGACACAATTATGAAGAGCAAGGGAGACAAAGGATCCCCTTGTTTCACACCCCTGAATGGCTGAAAAAATCCATAAGGAACTCTATTAATAAGAATAGAAATAAAAGTAGCTCGAAGATTACCCATAATCAGCTTAACCACATGTTGCCCAAAGCCAAACTTAGCCAGAATAGCCTGAAGAAAATCCCAAGACACCCTATCAAATCCCTTTGCCATATCCAATTTTATCACCATATTAGATGCCCTTGTATGTCTATCCAGATTATGTAACAACTCCTGGGCAACTAAGACATGATTTTTAAGTTCCCTCCCCTTCATAAAACCAGATTGCTCTCTTGAAATAATACTAGGCAAAGTTGTAGCTAACCTGCTAGCTAATACTCTAGTATTAATCTTGCTAATAAATGTCGACAAACAAATAGGGTGAAAGTCTACAAAAGAAACCGGGTTCTTTTTTTTGGAATTAAAACCATATTAACACTTCCCACCCCTTTAGGTACTGGTAGACCCAAGAAAAACTCCTGAACAGCCAAGACTATATCTCGCTTTATTATTTCCCAGCAACCCCTATAAAAGCTCCCTCCAAATCCATCAGGGCCGGGTGTAGCCTCCTGGTTGAGACTCTAGATGCTGTTTTAATCTCTGCTTCATCCGGAAGTCTCCCTAGAAAATTATTATGTGCCTCGCTCAGGATCTTTGGTATGTTGCATAGTACATCATCAAAAGAGGAAGAGTCTTCTTCCTTATAAAGATCCTTGAAAAAAGAAATAGCTAAAGAGGCAATTTCATCCTTGTCATAACACCACTCTCCACTATTGTTTTTAATAGTCATAATAATCTGCATCATCTTCCTATCTTTCACTACTTCATGAAAATACCTGGAGTTATCATCTCCTTCCCGAAGCCATTTAACCTTGGCTTTCTGCTTCCAATATAAATCCTGCTGCCTAACTTTTAAAAGAAGTTCAGCCTGCAATTTAAAGCTATGAGCCCGGGTTATTTCATTAGGACAGTCCTCAAAAGCCTTTTCTACCTCCATTGCCTCTGTTTCAATCCTTTTAGCCTCCCTAAAAATGTCTCCAAAAACCTCTTGATTCCATTTTTTAACATCCACCTTTAAATGATGCAACTTATCACACAATCCCCTCATGCCTCCTATAGTAGGATAGCCTTCCTCCCATTTCAGTTTAACAAAAGGTAAAAACCCATCATGTGTGAACCACATGTCTTGAAAATGAAATTGCCTCAGACCTTTTTCGACCTGGGATTCACACCATAAGAGATTCAGACAATGATCTGAGGGGGTTTTAATTAAGTGTTGCGTTTGAACCACATTAAACTTGGATAAGAAACCTTGATTAGCCAAATACCTATCTAACTTCTCCCAAATTCTTCCATTAGACCTTACTCCAGACCACGTGTATGTAGAAGCAATTGTAGGTAAATGAATGAGCTCACAATCATCTATGCACTTCTGGAAATCTAGAATGTCATTAATATGAGGTCTAGAAGGCCCTTTGTAATCAGAGATATAAGCCACAATATTAAAGTCCCCTCCCAAAACCCAATTTGACTGGGCTTCTTGTGCTAACTGAATCAACTCCTCCCATAATACAGCCCTATCCGCCCTGGTATGTAGTCCATAAACCGGAGAAAAAACAAAGCTGTAATCCATAGGTATAAACTTAACTTGAACCCTTAGAAACTGCTCCCTATCCTGAATAGATGCCACCTCAAAAGTACTAGTATTCCACAATAACCAAATCTTATTCGTTTGAGACATATAAATCTCAGAAAAACCCAAGCTTAATTTAAACTGATCCCCTTTACTTGGATCCACCATTGGTTCAATAATTGAAACAAAATCAATAAAATGCTGCCTTACAATTTCATGTAACCTCGAGCAGGACTTAGCGAGGCCACGAACATTCCATGAAAGAAGCTTCATATAGAAACAGACACAGAGGGGGCTGTGTTGATCCTCTTGGCCGCCAACCTAGTTGTGACTGATCGAGGAGGAACTTCTTTGGTTTTCTTTTTGGAGACCACCCCCAAACCCTCAACTTGATTGTTAACTATCAAAGCCACCTTCCTTTGAAGCTCCTCATAGACCAACTTCCAATTTTTTGTGGCAGTATCCTCCAAATCCACCTTTTCTCCATCCGAAACAAAACCTTCCCTCTCCACTATCTCTCCCTCCTCTCTACTGCTTCCTTCTTCAAATGAAATGAGCCTGGTAACATCAGTTGAAACAGGACATTCCTCCATCAGCTTCCCTCCCTTAGTTTCTTCCATCCCCTCTATCTCCTTGTAAACCTCTCCAATTGGGCTTCTTTCCGGAACTTCCTGGTGAGTCTCCCTTTCCACTGCCACTTCTACATGGTTTGCCATATTATTGACATCTTCCATATGGATGATGTCTTCCACTTCTACTGGAATCTGGACCTCTGCCTCCTTCTGAATCTCCTTTTCTCCTTTCTCCTTGATTAGAAGGATTGTTTCCTTTCTCCCATATCCTTCCTTTTTAGATGATGTTTCTGGGTGATAATCCTCCATTACCACTTTGTCTTTCCCATGTTTTTTCCTCGAAACTTGGACCCATTTTTCCGATGCCTTCTGAACGTCCTTGATTAACGGCTTCCCCACCAATTGTCCTGTAGTCTGGTTTCCTCCTTGCTGTGTACGAGGCCTAAGAATACCACACTCCTCCTTTGTGTGACCAATCTTGTTGCATTTTACACAATACTTAGGTAGGTCTTCATAACTAACCGATTGAATAATCTCCTTATAACCATGCATTATCAACACCTTTGACGGAATTTCTTGGAGTAAATCCAACTCCACACGAACCTTGGTTGTCGAAGGCCTAGATAGATTCACCGTCGCAGCATCCACTTTGAGCGGTTTACCCACCATTCCTGCTATGGAGAAAAGATCCCTCTTATCCTGTAAATGAAGAGGCAATCCTTCGAATGTGATCCACACCGGAACAATAGATGACTCCACATCCGGCCTAAACTCTGGCGTCCACTTTGTAACTTTCATGAGAAAGCCACGAATGATCCAAAACTGACGTAACCAGCACCTTTGAAAGTCCTCTTCCGTACCAAAATTGATTAAAATATGGTGTTGATCCAGTAAACCAAGCGTAAGAGATCCTTTAAATACGATTTTCTCAAATTCTTGACGAAGAGTTTGCATAAATGGCCTTCCTTGAATGAAAGATCCCACTAGTGCAAATTTGTGTTGTTCTGCAAGCAATGAAACCTCTTCTTCAGAAAATTTGACCGCCGGCATACCACGATGCCTAAACGGAACCTAGATCGGTAGCTCCTTGTTTGCAGCCAAAACCTCGGCAAATGAGCGAACTGCCACCCCCGACCCACCGGCCGGGGCGGCCCAAGTAGTCTCCGTCACCATGCAGTCGCCAGAGCAAAACCCTAGAGCCGTTACTTTTTAGATTAATTATATATATATATATATCTAATTTTAAATAATATATATATAATATATATAGGGTTTTTCTCCGAGGTGCACGTGGTCTCGGGACCCCTTAGGACCCTTAGTGGGTCCGCCACTGCCCACCAGAGGCTGGACCTTTCCCCAAGTATGCCTTTTAATTTTGACCTAATTAGAAAGCTTAAAGATGGGTTTGGACGAAAGACGAGAGTTTTGGCCCAAGCAAAGGACAATCATCACATGTGATACATCACAAATTAAAAAAAAACAAATCTGAAATTTCTATTAAAATTTTATGAAATTGCAGGTTAGTCACCAACGCCGACATGTCGTGTGGCGTTACCGGGAGGACATGCAAGTTTAAAGATATCACCTTACCAAGCACCCGCATCAACAATCGGCGGGTCGGGTACCCTCTGCATGAGCTCAACCTGGCGAGGTGGACGGAATGTCACGCCTGGAAGTTTGGTTGCACGGACTTGCCATGGCGAGACGGCCGCACGGTCGTCACCTGGATGCGTGGTCGTGCAAGCCCAACCCGACGACATGAGCATTTGGCCACCACCAAGAGGCTTCGTGGAGCACCCGCAGCGACAACCGGCAGATCAGGTACCCCTACTCGAGCTCAAACTGGCAAGGTGGATGGAATGTCACGGCCCGGAAGTTTGGTTGCATGAACCCGCCATGGCGAGACGGCCGCACGGTCGTCACCAGGATGCGTGGTCGTACAAGCCCAACCCGGCGACGTGAGCATGCGGTCACCACCAAGAGGCTTGGCTGCAAGGGCCTTGTTTGACTCGACAGGAACACATTCATCACCCGGAGACTTGGTTGCACAAACTTGATTCAACGAAGTGAACGTACCGTCTCCGTAGGGAGACTTGTTGCACAACCACGTTGTAGCACACAAGTCCGAGATGATAATGACGAAAATCATGCTGCCCAAGCTCGCGCAGATAGGCCGACCATAAATCAACTCAAGTTCGTCCTACTTTATCCAAAGGAAGTTCATGGCTTCTAAGACAATCCTACACCGAGGGGAAGACTCATCACGTCATCGAGGTTGGACGGACCCCTACGCATATCGCCATCTCCAAAGGCCATCTCCACCTTGGCTCAGGTGCACTGTTGACGAAGGGGTACAGACCTCGCTCCAAGTGCAGCGTGGAAGCACCGTTGATGAAGGGGTACAGACCTTGCAACATGGAGCTGTTTTATCGAGGACAACCCTGAGAGACCGAAATAAAAGGTCAAAGACCACGAAAGGCAAGTTTGTAGAACAAGTGCGGAGCACAGGGCACCCTGTCGATCAATTCCTAAGAGCGGAGAATCACAAGCTAGTAGGTCAAGTGCGGAGCGCATAGCAACTCTCCGAAATTCTTTGAGCGGATCATCACAAATTACAGATAAAGTGTAGAACTCGAAGCAGCTCCTCACGTTCTCCAATTCTTTCATTACTTTAAAAAAAGTTGTTTTCCAGTCTAGAATTTAATGAGGTCCGACCTCACTTGGAAATGAACGGGTGGCGGCCAAAAAAGAAACTATGACGCCCCGCTCTCGGTGTTTAGTCGACCACGGATCAATGCTCGAGCTAGGAAATTACCAAACTAGTTTCTAAGCTTGGGATTAGCTGTTCAGTTAGGGAGACCGTAAGACCGGCCTTCGGGTCGAAAAGGTATGCGAGAGGTAGTGCTCCGAGCCCCTCCCGTACATCCGTTGTCCGACGCTGCTGTCTAAACAGCTCGCATACTCATTTGACCTAATCATCGGTGCGGCGACTATATGACCGGTCCTTGGGCCGAAGGTATGCGAGAGGTCGTGCTTCGATCCCCTCTTGTGCATCCTTTGTCTGACGTTGCTAGGCTTAACAGCCCACATACTCATTTGATATGGTCAGTGATGCAGGTCCGTTCTGGTCTGATCATGCAGGGCCTTGCCATTACATTTGGTCGACATCAGTTTGACTTTCAGAAAGGGATAACCGAACTTTTCCTAAGTATGAAACTAGCTGTACAAGTCAAGGAATAAGACCAGCCTTCGGGTTGAAGGTATGCGAGAGGTCGTGCCCCGAGCCCCTCCTGTACTTCCGTTGTCTGACTGTTAGCCGAATAGCTTGCACACTTATCGGTCCTAGATCGATAGTGTGCGGGTCTGCCCCGCCTTACCAAGCAGGGTGCGGTCAAGGTCGGCCCTTCCAACCTTCCGCCCCTCACGGCCTAGGTGGGGAGCCAGATCCCCAATTAGTTCTCCAAGTATTCTTGAATGGAAAAAGACTAAGTAAATTGAAAGAATGAACGATGCATACGAGCTCAAGCGATAAATCAATCACAGATAACAACTTCGAGGTCATCATTGCCCATCTTCTCTGCCTCATCACAGCTAGTCTGCGTATCATGCCGGCCACATCTAAATGGGAACAAGGCCTCCTTTTCACGCCAATTGCAA